TGCGCTGTGACCCGATGTCGGGCTCTCGTGGCGCAACGGTTGCGTCGATGCGCGGTGCTGGCATCGCCCAGATCCAACTGCAGCACAAAAACCCACAGCTTCAAGACGCAAGAATGACGGTGATTCGCGGCGTTGAATCAAGTCCCAGGAATGGCCGTCCGGCACAATGCAAGATGTTCAAACGGTTGTCTTCCAACGGGGCATTTCCCCCAGCGAAAAAAGGAATCATTGCAGCATATTGTGTGAAGGACCTTAGGGAAAAAAGTGTGCTGCAATATCGTTGATGGGTCTTGGATGTGCCACTGAAGTTCCTCCTCCTTCTCTTCCTCCTCCGACTGTTCATCCTCCTTCCTCGTCTTTCAAAAATGACACAATATGAATACTACTTTGCTCTCTCCCCTGACTGTGTCTGGACATTGTCCCGTCCTCTCCGCACATTATTTCACGCCAGGCAAACGCGACTGCGGAGGACGCGGAGCCGGGAATCCGGACAGGCGCTGTCGTCTTGTAAGCGGGCCACTTTGCCTCCGACTCACCTGGTGCCATGCCACGACATGCAATGCGATGCTGTGTTGTGCACCACTTTGCAATGCCATACTCTGTGTTGATACATGTTGTGATGTAGTGCTTCACTACCCACTGCCACGCAATGCAATGACACGTTATGCGTCGCGCTCTTCCACGCCGCGCACATCCATCCATCGCGCGCCCTCTTGGGATCATCGTCGCGCTCGACATCCGACTATCTGAATAGATAGGGGATCTACGCCATAGTAGGAGACGGGGCGGATGGGGTGGGACCTTAGATGTCACGCTGGCGCACCTGGTTTGTCCCCCTCCCCTTCCCTCCTCGTGATCCTCCCCCTTTTACCCCCATCCTCCCCCCCCCCCCCGCCCCTCCTCCTCCTCCTCCCGCTCCTCATGCGTCGTCTTACCCAGCCTCGGATTCCACTGCGTCCCCCTCCACATCCCCGACAAAGGGCAACTCGTCTGGGCGCCGTTCACGAACGGGCTGGTTAGGTTTGGCGAAGCGCCCAATGACCCACCATTGAGGCGTGGTTCAGCGTCAAGGCTGCCTGGTAGGTCTCATGACATTGCCCCCCCCCCCCCCCCTTCTGAAACAGCGTTGGATGCCCTCGCGAGGTTCCATGGGCGGCACGACGCACACCCGGGGCATAAACCGCCCCCCAAAGACCTCCACGACGGCCCAGATGTTACCAATGCCTACAGGCTGGCTGAAGTATGCCCGAAGAGGCTTCTCTTGTCTGCTTCCTCAGCAGCGAGGGGTGCCACCAAAAACCCCCGCGCCGCGCAGGCTGCGCGGAGGTCCGCCCACGTCGCTTTGCTGGCAGACCACCCTCGCGTGGGCCGTCGCCTCGCCGACCTCAGCCACGACGTGCGCCACCGCGCTGGACAGGCTCCAGCAGCTGGGGCGCCCAGCGACCCCCCCAAGAGGCCCCACGCGGCGCCCAAGGGGCTTCCAGGACACGGGCGAGAAGGCCACGAGGCCCCGCCACGACGGCCAGAACAGGGCTGGACCTAAACGTCGCGTTTCGTGTTGGTTTCGTTTTGTTGTTCGTGTTGCTCGACGTGTTTTCATGTACCTCGCTGCCAAAACGAAAAAACAAAACACAGCCGAAGCCCAGCAAAACAGCATTTAGGTCCAGCCCTGGGCCACGGCCTGCTCAAAACCGAAGAGAATCCCGCAGGTGTTGCAAAGATTTGCCTACGCGAGACCAACAAAACACTCTGAAGGCCCTACGAACCACCCAGGACTGCCCAAAACAACTTCACGAGGGCCCCAAGACGGCCCAAGAACGGTCCATCACAGCCCAAGATGGCCCCAACATGGCCCAATAATGCCCCAAGAGGCCTCGAACGCAACCCAAACATACTTCTCACACAACCGAGACAGGCCCAAGATGGTCAAAGACTGCGCCACGATTGCCCAAGCGGGCCCCAGCGAATCCCACAACAGCCCAAGATGACCCACGTATGCCCATGAGCAGACCCTCGAAGAATACGCTGGCTCCCGCTTGCCGGAGGTGCAAAGGCGTGTGAGACAGTCGGCTGCACGGCTTTTCACCTCCCCCTTCGCCACTTCCTCTGAAGCAGCTGCGCAATTCCAGTCGCTGCAGGGCCGAAGACCAGAAGGGAAGGTCTGACGTTCCAGCTGCCCTGCCCAGAAAGCCAAGCCCCTTTTTCACGAACCCCCACGCCTCCACCTTCTGTAGGCTATGGTAAACTGCGGAAAGCCGGTCCCCTCTTTCCTATGTAAGCAACCCTCCACCTCCCCCTCTAGACGCTGCCTCCGCGCCCCCTCCCCAACCCTGGCCACCAGCTGGCCGACCGCCCCACCTCCCAGAGACGGTCCCAAATCAGACTGTGTTTTCGAGGGCTGCCCCCCCTTCAGAGATGTTGGCGCCCAACGTCGGCGACAATCTCGGACACATCGACGTCTACTCCATTGAAGGGGACGGGATCGGGACAAGTTTCCGCATGCTGTGGCCGTGGAAACGAAATCCCACCAGTCCTTTGGGCGCAGGTGGTCCCGATGTGTTTTTTCCTCTTCCAAAGCCCCCTTTTCCCCTTCGGGGACGGGCTTACCACTGGCAACTGGGAGCCAACCCGAACCAGTGAGGGATTTATCATTGCTCCCTATTAGTATACACCCCCTCCCCCAGGCGACTGGGAGCCATCCTTTGTAACAAACTAAAGAAAACACACTCCGCCTCCAAATTCGGAGCATGCGCAGCGAACCCGATGCGGCCTCCCCCTACCACCCCTGTCGAACAAAAATGCAACATACACTTGGCGGCGGCGGCGGCGGCGGCTGCGGCGGCTGCGGCGGCGGCGGTGGCGGTGGCGGCGGCGGGGGCGGGGGCGGCGGCGGCGGCAGCAGCTGCGGCGGCGGCGGCGGCGGGCGGCGGCGGCGACGGCGGAGGCGGCGGCGGCGGCGGCGGCGGCGGATTGGCCCCCCCAGTAGCTGCCCATCAACAGGCGACTGCTGAATATGCTGAGGCTCGGGCCAGGCTCGGGTGCTGCGTATGCGTTGGGAGGGAAGGTGGGAATGAACGAGACGGCTTGCGGGCGGGGAGGGAGTCTTGATCACTGCTTCCTATTAATAAACACCCCCTCCCCCGAGCGACTGGTGGCCAACCCGGGTCCATGACCCCCCCCCACTCCCGTGAAAAAACAATACAAAACACACTCTGCCTCCAAATTCGGAACATGCGCAGCCAACCCGATGCGCCCCCCCCCCCCCACCATCCCTGTCAAAAAACAATACAGAGTACACTTGGCGGCGGCGGCGGCTGCGGCGGCGGTGGCGGCGGTGGCGGCGGCTGCGGCGGCTGCGGCGGCGGCGGCGGCGGCGGCGGCGGGGGCGGGGGCGGGGGCGGCGCGGCGGCGGCGGCGGCGGCGGCGGGGCGGGGCGCGGGGGCGGCGGCGGCGGTCGCGGGGGGCGGCGGCGGCGGCGGCGGCGGCGGCGCGGGGCGGCGGCGGCGGCGGCGGCGGTGGCGGCAGCGGCTGCGGCGGCGGCGGCGGCGGCGGCGGCGGCGGGCGGCGGCGGCGGCGGCGGACGGCGGCGGCGGCGGCGGCGGCGGATTGGCCCCCAGTAGCTGCCCATCCAAAGACGACTGCTGAATATGCTGAGGCTCGGGCCAGGCTCGGGTGCTACGTATGTGTTGGGAGGGCGGGTGGGAGTGAGCGAGACGGCTTGCGGGCGGGGGAAGGGGTCTTGACCCCTCCCCCTACCCCCTCCCCTGGACAATGACGGGGGGATTCGCGAGCAGTTGGAGCGTCCGAGATGGCCCAAGATGGCTCCAAGAGAGCCTCAGAGAGCCCAAACTGGCCTCCAAGATCGCTCAAGATAGCCAAACATGGTTCAAGGCAACTTTCGACATGCCTTCAGGAGGCCCCAAGGAGGGCAACAAGACGGATCCAAGTGCTTTTGGAGCTCCCTCGGGGCCCACCCGAGAAGCCAAAATCCTTGACACCTCGGGAAAATCAATGATGTGTGCTTTCTCGCCTTTTCGCTTCCGATGCGCTTTTGAGGCCTCAACATGGCCCCAAGATGGCCCAAGAAAGCTCCAAGAGGCCCCCCAGACGGCCCCAAGAGCGCCCACGATCGCCCCAAGAGCGCCCCTAGAGGGCCCCAAGAGGCTATGTTGATGGCCCCAGAGGGGGAGGCAAATCTAGGACCCCCCCAGACGGCCCCACGATCGCCCCAAGAGCGCCCCTAGAGGGCCCCAAGAGGCTATGTTGATGGCCCCAGAGGGGGAGGCAAATCTAGGACCCCCCCTCCTTTGATCGATGGTCTCCAAGACGGCCCCAGAGGCGCTCCATAGCTCCCAAGAGGGCACGAAGAGAACGCCAAGAGAGCCCCAAAAGAGCCCCAAGAGGGCCCCATGCGGGCTGTAAGACGCCCCGAAAGAGCCCCAAGATGACCCCAAGACCCCCAAAGAGCCCTAAGAGGGCTCCCATATGCCCCAAAAGAGTTTCAATTGGACTCCAATCTCTCCCCAGACAGCCTCGTAGCTTCAAGAAGGCCTCAAGACAGCCTCCAAGATGGCTCAATGCTCTTCTCATCATTTTCCCCTCCTTGCACGCTCTGTTTCACTACATGTGTCTCCCAGAGATCTCCACCCTGGTTGCTCGCTTTGTTTCCCTAGATGTGTCTCTTCGTCCCTTTCCCCATCAACTCTCATGGGCAGGGCTTATGAATGGGCTGGTGGGTCGACCATGCTTGAAGTTCTTACCAAACCACTCGCAAGGGCTGCGCAAATGAAGAACAACTAGATGCTACATATATGCCGTGGAACATGGTCCAGAGCACAGGGGCTGCCCAACCGGCCACACGACTGAGGTACAATATGGCACAATGCTTGACCAGATCCTGCGACAATAGCACCCAGACAGCAAGTCAGTCGAAGAGGGTGAGTGTCGGGGGCAGTAGGAAATTGTTTTGTTTCTTACCGCGCCAACCTACAAATAATTCT